GTGTGTGTGGGTGTGTGTGTGGGTGGGTGTGTGTGTGTGTGATGGAGTATTAGGGGACGCTCTGGTCATTGTGGTGACCTAGGATAGAGGGAGCTGAATCAAGTTGATGGCTGCAGGTGAGAATTTCCAGGTAGCAATGCCAGTGGCCGGCACCTCCTAGCTTCATACAGATGTGTCCCAATGACACTCACTGTTTACCAAGCACTTATTATGTATCATCTCGTGTTTGACATCATCTAATCCTCCCAGCTGCTCTGCAGTCCCCAGGGGCAAGGACCACCATCAGCCCCTCATTTGTGTAGGAGCCAAAGCTCAAGGTTGGCTGCTGGTGAGAAATGTACCAGGGTTGAGTGTGAACATGCTAAGCAGTGTGCTTGGGGGAAAGCAGGTGCAGCTGGCCGTAGCCAGGCCTGGGGGAAGAGCCTGGGCAAGGGGCAGGAACCAGGGTTTGCGTCCTGGCTCTGTTCTGATGCCAGGTGACTGAGGAGTGTGGCCTCTTCATTTGCTCAACACAGCTCCCCAGCTTGACTCTATACCAGGCTTTGAGATCATAGGCGACGTCTCACTTTGCTTATTCATAATTCTTCAGGTAAGCTATCCCCTCCTAATGTGACATGTCATAACACTGATGTTCCCCTGCGAGGCTGAGCACATGTCCAGGAGCCTCAGGGTTACAGAGTCAATGCTGACAGAGCAGTTACAGAGTGCAGATGGTCAACACTCATGATGACCTACGGCTTGCAGCCTCAGGCAAGCCCACAGCCCCTATTTCCTACTCTGTATAGGGGAGACGGTGATACAGAGTCACTAACTCATGGAATAATCCAGACTCATCCCAAGTTCAGGGCCAATGTGTGGACATATCTGGCTCATAGTCTGAGCCATAGGCAAATCCCATTCTCAGACCAAGAAGAGCATCCTTATTGGATAAGGAGCCATTACAAGGAGGTAGCAGATGCCACATCTGAATGCTCAATGTGGTGGCTCATGCTTATAGTCCCAGCATTCCAAAGGCTGAGGCAGGAACACCTGAAATTCAAGGTCATCCTCAGCTATATGCTGAATTTGAGGCTAGCCTGAGCTACGGGAGACCCTGCCATGAATGAACAACAAGTGGGTCTATGACACACTGAAATACTGGCCCAGCAGCAGATCCTCCAGCCACCAAAGAGTGTTCAGTATTTCGGTCCCTTCTGCACGGAGGCTTCCACTGTTGCCTGGGAGCCTACTGTGTGCAGGCCGGAGCTGGAGGCACCAAGCCCTGGAGCCCTCGTGGCCCAGCAGCAGATCCTCCAGCCACCAAAGAGTGTTCAGAATCCCAGGCTTCAAAGTTTAAGATCTATTCAAGGCTGAGGATGCAGCTTAGTCGAGACAGTACTCATGCAGCATGTACAAGGCCCAGAGTTCAGTCTCCAGCACTGGATAAGCCAGGGTGCATGCCAGTAGCCCTAGCCCTCAGACAATGGAGGCAGGAGGATCAGGAATTCAGGGTCGTCATTGGTTACACAGTAAGCCTGAGGCCAGCCTGGGTACACAAGACAGGGATTCAAATAAGCAAACTAACAAAAGTAACAACAACAACAAAACTCACCAAGAATAGTAAGAGCAGAGAACATGAGTATTTTCAATTTCGTTGAACTTTGTAGAAGCTAAAGAAAACATCTGTGCTCCAGATTTGGCCCTGAATGTGTGAACTCCATACAGCCCTATCCTTGCTGGCTGATCTCCCAGGATCTGAGTGGGAAGAGAGCCTGGGAGAAGATGGACCTCACCTCAGGTTACAAAATAGGATTAGCAGCTTTTCACAGCAGGAAATCCCAGATGATAGTGGTTAGAAGACACTTTTCTCTTTCTCTGTTGTATGAAACCCAGATGCAGGTCATAAAGGTCATGACTCTGTGAAGACAGCTCAGCCTCTTTCTGTTCTGTTGCCCGTAGCGTGAAGCCCCCAGGCCCAGCGTCTACTGTAGCTTCTGAGGCAATGACCACTGGAACCCACAGTTCCATGATCAGAGCAAAGGAAGAACAGAGCCACTAGTGCCTTCCCTTTAAAGATTCAGTTCCCTGAATCTCTTTACAGTTTCACTTACGAAGTTATATGACCAGACTTAACTGCAAAGGAGCCTGGGAAGTTTGTTACATTTTGGTTGGAAAACAATCCTCCCAGGTAAAAATGAAGGTCCTGTTACTAAAGGAGAGGATAACAGGGACCCAGCTCAGTGGCGGAGTGCTTGATTAGCACAGGCATGGCCCTGGGTCCCATCCCCAGCAATCTGTAAAACTGACCAAGAGGGTGTTACATAGTGGAAGGTGAGGAGCCCCTTTGTCCCATCAAATGGTCTGGTGCATTGAGGAGGGTAGGAAGAAAGTATGGCCAGATACTGGTGTCTATGTGACTTCTCTTAGTATATGTCTTTGAGTTTCTTTGTGATGAAGAAGAAAAAAAAAGAGGGCAATCCAGGAAGAGGGCACTGGTGTGGAGGACTCATCAAGGAAATGAGCCCTTTATGAGCACACGATAGGGTCTCATAATATCATGATGGGGAGGGTCTCATCCTGTCTGTGCCCACTGTGAAAAGAGCCCTGGTTGACCAGTTGTTCCTCAGAGCAATAGTCAACCAGCCCTCTTCAAATGGCAGTCTGCTCTCCATTTCTGGGTGTTCAGAGGAGCCTGGTTCCTCCAACCCCTGAGCGTTGGGGGAGCTCAACAAGTCTATCTCAGCGGCTACCTGGAGCATTCAGGTCTCAGGCAATGGGTTTCTTGTCCACTGCCATCCATTATTGGTTCTATAGCAGCCACATTTAAGCTGATTCTTCCTGTCTGCTGTTATCACCTCACAGGTGTTATTGTCCCAGCCATTGGGTGCGTGGGTGTGTGTCCGTGTCCTTGTCATTCTCTCAGAATCCCAGAGAATGGTGACATTAGGTAGGTGATAGCAGTCAGCCACAGCTAACCACTAACCTCTGGCTTATGCTCTTGTCTGGGGAAACCTCAAGGCTCAAGAACATTCTGTGGTGTTCCCAGCCTAGCTGCCTCTTCCTCATTCAGCTCTGGGGGTCCTTAATGCCTCAGAATTCTCTTTCTCTCTGCATCTGGACATAGCTGCATCTCAGCTCTGGCCTGTACCCTTGCTAAAGGGCAGGACCTAACTATTCTTCCTAGAACCTGAATGGGATGGGCGGGCCCTAAGCTGCTGGATATGAGTTCCTGGCCTAGCCCACTCCTTAGATGTCAGTTTGATCTTTGATGAATTAAAACTCAAAGTTGGGGTTGAGAATGCTATTTCTAAACTAGAATGCTTGAGTTGATCTCCTTCCAGAGGTATGTTCTCACTGGAGTATGGATGAAGTCCAGTGTCAGTCCCCCAAGGGAGCCTGCAAGAGTGTTACCTGTCTGTAAGAAGTTCTTAAGAGCCAGGGGTGATGGTATATGCATGTAATCACAGCACATGGGAGACTAAGGCAGATGGATCATGAGTTTGAGGGAATCCTGACCTGCACAGTGACAGTCTGTCTCAAAAGATTAAAACTTGCAGACTGTGGTACAATAGCATGAGTCTTCAGACCCCAGAAACCCCCAGTGGCCTTCTGTGATTCTCTCTTTTTTTTTTTAAAGATTTATTTATTATGTATACAGTGTTCTGTCTGCATGTATGCCTGCAAGCCAGAAGAGGATGTCAGATCACATTACAGATGGTTGTGAGCCACCGTGTGGGTGCTGGGAATTGAACTCAGGACCTCTGGAAGAGCAACCAGTTCTCTTAACCTCTGAGCCATCTCCGCAGCCCCCTGTGATTCTTATGGTGAAGAGGTGAAGAACTAAGTGGACAGCCTTCCCAGACTGGGGAGTTTCCTGAGGCACAGGGTTTTCAATGCCAAAACGAAAATGGTGTCATGGAAAACCAGAATTGCTGATGCCCAGCGGAATACTCTATAGATGCCATCTTGGTGCCCTTGTGGCTTAAAAGCTTACTCTCTGGGGTGTGGGGAGATGACTTAGTTAATAAAGTGTCTTCCATATAATCATAAAGACCTGAGTTCAATTCTCAGAACTCACATAAAATTGTGCCTGCAAAGCCGGGCAGCGGTGGCACCCGCCTTTAATTCCAGCACTTGGAAGGCAAAGGCGGGCAGATCTCTGTGAGTTCAAGGCCAACCTGGTCTACAAAGCAAGTTCCAGGACAGCTAAGACTGTTAAACAACACAAAGAAACCCTGTCTCAAAAAAAAAAAAAAAATTGTGCCTGCAGTCCCAGCCAGCACTGGGGAGGCAGAGACAGGAAGATCCTTAGCAAATCCTTGTTTGCCAACTAGTCTGGTCAAGATGCCGAGCTTCAGGGTCCAGGAGAGACTATGTCAAAAACTAAGGCAGAGAGTGATTGAAGAAGAGACAGAATTCACCTCTGTCCTCCAAATGCATATATGCGCTCCCTTCCTTACATAAACACACACACACACACACACACACACACACAGACACACACACACACACAGATACACAGCACACACACACAGATACACAGCACACACACACAGATGCACAGCACACACTCAGACATACACAAGCACACACACATAAGCATACACAAACACACATACACAAGCGCACACACAAAAGCATATGCGTGTACACATACACACAAGAACAGACATACAGTGCTTACTATCTG